GGAAAGAGAATGGCACAGAAGACTTCATGACTGTTGTGTGCTCCTGTGTTGAATCTGCCAAGGTTGGTTTGGCTCCTTGCCCTAAGCAATGCACATCTTGTGCCTGTGTGGCAAATAGAAATAGCCAGTGCCTTGGATCATACCAGCTTAGTTTTTTCTTACCCCTCCAGAATGTCCCTGTTGGTACAAGACGAGGTTCAACCTGGTACATAAAATCTAAAGTCTATCTATATTGGAGGCATTTCCAGGGCAATCACAATAAATGAAATATTTAATTTATTCACATTAAAATTTAGCAAAGTAAAAAAATAGATGCAACTAATCAAAAATGAAGTAACTATTGATGAAAACATCTTTTGTTTCCATATGAAAAATTATGCCTTCCAAAGTTTTTCACTTTGGATGAAGATTTTTTGACTGTCTAAAAATAGCAACACTTCTTTTTGAAAACTTCGATGCAACTTTTCACAACTTCATATTTCATCTGTTCATCCCTACTTTAATAGACTCCCATCCCTTTGACATCTCTCCCAAAGAGCTGGCGCCCCGAAACCCCTGAGCACCCTGAAGCTCAGAAGTGAGACTTCCAACTCCAAGCTCTAGAAAGGAGAGTTTTGGCAGGGGTGGGGAGGAGCTTCAGCTCTACCACATGGAGACCAAATTAGTGTCCTAAGAGTGAAGCCAGAGTTACCTGAGTTTCCAGGTTCCTGGTTTCACAGGGTGAACCAAAGTTCTCAAATCCACAGCCAAATGCAAGTGTCCCAGAACTTTGAGATGTGCTGGTTTGGTGTGGGCTGTGAGAGCTGCAGGACGTTGACTGTGGACCCAGGAACCAAGAGGTCTCCAGATTGCAGAACTGACCTAGGACTGTGCAGCTTGGAAACCCCAAAGTCTCCAATTTCACCGCTGACTTGAAGGAAGTATAGTTCTCAGATCCCCAGTAATCTCCTGGGTAGACAGCCAGAAAAACAGGCAAATTTTCATCAGAACCCTGCTGATGCTTTCACAGAACTTCAGCAGCAACAATAGCCTTCTGTGACTCATTTTGGTCTGGTAAATAAAAACATGTCAATTTACAATTATTTAATTGAAAAGTTCCTGGTAAAGAAAAATAAAATTATAAGAGCTGAAGAGTGGAAAGAAGGTGGGGTCCAACTGAAACACTCCAATAGCAAGAGAGAAAGAAATAAAACATCCAAATCAGTGAACAAGAAAAAGGAAATACTGCTCAGGGAATAAAACAGCAGCCAAAACCTTCCAATATAACATGACAAAGTCTGGTATATACAGTGGGAATGAGCTAAACTAAACCCATGATGTGGACGAGAAGGAAATCCAAGACCCAAAGAGCAATTCTGGCTACGTGATTCACTGAAATTACACTGAAATATTTCTTTGAGCAGGAGTTAGTTTAATTTCAATAATAATGAAATTGTCTTGAAACCCACCCAAATCAAAGACAGCTCTGGATCTCCTCCAGTTCCAAAAAGACATATTAAGTGATTTAAATGATAAAGATGATGAGAAAACTGAGGCTGAGATGGCCAAACCTCAGCTGGATTGTAGGCCAGTGGGGTTAGCTGTGAAAATATGATGTATGAGTGAGATAAACTGTAATACCATTTGTATCATTTGTGAGTTTGTGGTCCATACTGTAATCAGGCTGTGGTTCTGACATCCAGTCAAATATAGCTAAAGTTAAAAAGCCCACAATTCTCTGAGGTGGGTTAGAAAAAAATACCCTTGAGTTGGAAATTAATTAAACTGGTATCGTGAATGCAAAATAACCATGATTTGCATGATCTTTTGACCATTTTCTGACTAAATCTTTTGAGAATAATGGCTGTTACAAGATTTTGTTTAAATCTAAACTGACACTAATAAGCAGGTCTCTTGATGACTCTAATTCAAAACAAATATTTTAGGAGCAAATTCTAAACTGAGATTTTAAATCCAATCCCACATCACCTAGATATCCTCTGCAGTTCCTATTTTAATTTCATCCACCTCCAGTCATGAATGTCAAACCACAGAACGCTTTTCAGCATAGTATATTATAAAGCTCATTTGCATTACATTTATCATTTGTGCTCAGAGTTCCACAGCACGAAGATGGAATAAATGGAATTGAAAGGAAACTAAATTGCATCCTAAACAGGGAAGATTTATGAACAAGAAAAAATCTATAATGCACAAAATCAGAGTCAAAATTTTCCAGAATTAGCATAGATGTTTTAATGCATCACTTTGAGTATAAGCAGTTGAGTAGAATGACATGTTTGAAGTCATTACTTCTCTGGCCCCAGAATAGGTTAAACATTTCCTAACAGTGATGTAAAATTAGAAAACAGTTATGGAAACAGAAAGCACCAGCTGAGCTACAAGGTGCACTGCTCTAAGCTATATACTTAGAAGAAAGAACAGAAAAGTGAATACTGTCCACCTTTGCACAACACTTGAAAAGCAGAAAATCAACTTGGTACTCAAAAGAGGTTGCAGTAAAGTATCTACCGTAAGCTGATGACCCAAAACACCAATAAAAGGCAAGGGCCATGCCAGTCTCACCTCCTCTGCCTTTCCTAAGCAGCAAACTAAATAAAAGTTTAGCCAAGAGCTAGGACTGCTATGGCAAAGTGCCTGTGGCACTCCATTCCCTGGCCTGTAGGGGAAACAACCAGCCCACATCCCCAGCGGGTTCCTGATATTGCCTCAGGACTGCTGCCATCTTCCTGCATCACTGAAGTGAAATCCAACTTTGCTGGGTTCAATTTTGCCATTGACCTAGATGAGCACATGGACAAATTTTTTGCCATTTTGCCACATGTCATGTATAAAGTGGATTAAGCAATATGGGTTTCCTGATGGATGCATTGGAAAAATTGACTTGTATTATAAAGCTTTTTTAATGAAATGGAAGAACTATGGAAAGGAAAATAGACTGAAAACAAAAGGGAACAACACTCATTTACACATGCTGGAAATTTTTTTTGGAACGTAATATAGCTGGTAGAAAGATTTGTCATTATGAGAAATGGCAACATGTCTTAAATGATGCCTGAGAAAGGGATCGTTGAAAGGAAATACCTTACCATGACATCACAAAAATGAAAGCACTCGAACAACTCAAGTCATCCCAAGTATTGCGTTAACAAGAGATACTGAGCCAAATGAATTTCTGGGTTAACTCCACTAAAGACAGCTGTTACACCAGGGATAAATGTGATGTATTCTTTATTATAAGAAGGCCATTCAGTAGGCCTGCTGCCAATATACAAAGACAAATGATATGGAACAGTGGTAAATAAAATAAAGTAACTGATTAGCAACAGTGCATGAAGTCCCCCTATGAAGTAAACATATCGTCAGAGCTCTTTATCAGTCAACCTGTCCATGGCCAGACATATCTCTACGCATGTTAACAAGATGTGCTTCTAGTCTGTGCAGAAGCATTGCTTATTCATTTTTTATGACTGTTATGAGCAGTTTGTCACATTTTGGGCTTTGGCAGTTATCCTAAACTATCTTGCTGCTCAATCCATACTCATGGCAGACAGTGGATTTACTAATTTTTAGTTTTTAAAAGATTATTGGAGTTATATATAATTCTATTTAGCAATGAGTGACTCTTAGCAACTCTTAAATGTACTCAAATGACAGCCTTCACACACAGGATGACATTTACTTTGTGAAAACATCATTACTGCATATGTACGTACATATAAGCACACATCATGCATGCACTCTGTGTTCTACCGATAGTATAATGATAGAACAATAGCGTTCAGTACATAAAATAGTGTGTTAGGGACTTGGCTATCTAAAAGGTCCAGGGAAGGTCCAGGAAGACTAGGGAATACCATTTCAAAAATAATGGAGACAACTGTCAAGATACCTGGTTTCTATTTCTGCTCACTGCAGGGGGGTTGGGCTAGATGACCTCTAAAGGTCCCTTCCAACCCAAAGCATTCTATGATTCTATGATTCTATTGACTTGCTACTTTTACTTGCTAAGGTGTCCTGGTTTCGGCTGGGATAGAGTTAGTTTTCTTC